GAAATCTTTTGTTCTTTGCAAATCGCAGAATGCTGGTCCCATCGTCCATGCTCTTAACCAGTATTCTCAAGCAAATATTTGGTGCTAAGCCCTAATGGCAGGCAAGACAGACGTGGCTCCTGTATGCTGACAACTCGTGCATGAATAGTGAGGACAGATACCACAGGGTAGAGATGACTAGCATGAAGAATTGGGGCTGCCAGTCCGCACTCATGAGGCTTCTACCTACCTCTCTCACTTGTGATACGCTGGTAGCCCTGGTGGCCTTGATTATGAATGTTTTCCTGTCTGTCTGAAAGGACCCATTTGAATTGGGGAGATACAGGAGAAATTGCTTCCCTGAACACAGTCTTTAGACCTAAGCTTAACAAAAATCACCAAAGGATGTGTTCATCTTGTAGCTTTTTATATTTCAGGTCAAGGTGTGATAGAACAGCACCTGATCATACAGACCACGAGAAACTCGGAGGTATGATGCGTCTCGTTCCTTGAAAATGGCAGTTCTCTTCCCCAGACCCCATCCTGTCCATGGTGTTCCCTCTGCCTCAGTGTTGAACCCCTTTACTGGAGAGTGCCTGCCCTTTAAGACTCAGCATAAATGTCACTTCTGATGGGAAGCCTTCCCCACTTCCTCCATGTCACATGATCCAGATGGTCAATGCCCTTACTTATCCCCCGTCTTCATAAATGTCTATGGAAGACGTTCCTCTGCCCCACCCCCACTCCGATTCCGACTTTAAGTAGCAGAGACACATTGCTGTCAGATGCAGCTAGCCTTTTTAAATTCAAATATATTCCTGTTGATACCAAGTGTTAGTGCTCGTCTGATTTGGCATCAGTGTTACATTTTCTTTTGGAGCTCGAGATTGCTTTTTTAAATATCTAAGTAAAAATATGCAGCTTGGTAGATGAAAAATGTCTTTGTTTGAAACTCCAGGCTTTCTCTCTGAGAAAACGTCAGGAACTGAACACCAGCTTCCCCCTCACAGGGTCTTTTTTCCCCACCCTCCTCCTCTCTGGCCTGGAGGTGAATAGGAACTGGATGGGGAGGTCCACAGGTCTGAAGATTCTATAACAGGGTTGACCTCCCCAGAGCGGGGAGCAGAAACCAGAAGGGGTGGTGGTGAGGGAGGGGATGATGTGTGACTGATAAGCTGGGAGATGAGTGGATCAGGAGGGTACTGGCGGAAGCACGCAGGCAAGGGTGGGGATGGGAGCTAGAGAGGCAGAGTTAAAGGAAGACTTTTTTTTTTTTTTTTCCAGAATACAAGTGGTTTGGACATGTTTATTACAGTGGAGGGAAACGCATTGGCAGCTGCAGGCTAATGACATGCAAGTTCCTATTGGGATCCAGGGCGCGGTGGAACAACTGGCGTTGCAGATGAAGAGGGGCCTTTATTCTCCTGAGAGGGAGAATTAGGTTACGAGGGAGGGAAAGTGTCCTGCTTTTTGTAGGTGTGAGCTTGGGGGTGTGGGGGAACTGAATCCCGCTAGTGAAGCTTGTCTTTGAGGTGGGGTCTGAAGTGAAGGGTAGGAATGAGATGGCAGGCAAGTTAAGATTTGGAGCTGCTGCTTAAGGCCATGTGGGGGGCCTGGGTGAAGAGGACAGGGAGACAGCACAGAAGTGAAGGCCAGGAGCTCTTATGATGTTCTCCACAGGACAAGAAAACTTTGCTCAGAGGGGCCAGGCTGATAGATCTTTGATAGGGACTTTCCTCCTAATACTGCCCCCGACACACATACCCCATCACCATCACTTCATGAAGAAAGGAAATGGAGAGAGAGAGAGAGAGACAGAGAGAGAGAGAGAAAGGCAGCTCTTGGAATCAGAAGGGACACTTCCTTTCTCCGCCTACTTAATTATCTGGCTTTTTGAATTAGGGGTGGAAAGCAAACTCCTCTTGTTTCTATTCACAATTTCTCTCTTGAGTTTGCTCCCATTAATGAAACAGCTTAGTTTGGTTTAGCTCACTGCACGCATGACTTCCAAAACCCACATCACAATGCAGGAGGAATGCAGCCTCTAGCTACGCTACAGCAGCTTAACCACATTGTTTAGAGAGGAGCAGGGGCAGCACCAGCGCCTCTGAAATCCATTTAAGATGTGTGAAAACACGAGATTGAAATTCTGACCTTTCCCTGAAGCTGAAAGAACCTTCTCCAGGAGGCTGTTGGGAAGACTACAGCTACAGGCTTGGGCCCATCCACGGCTCCCCAGGACCCTGGCTCCCAGTGGCCTATCCGGCTGGGGGGGGGGGGGGCCTTGCTGCTGTGTGTCCTTCTGTCCCTCACTGGGCATTTGGTAAGCAGAGAGACTGCTTAAGGAGCCATCATCAAGGTGGAAGCTTATTGTGGGGGTGGGGCGTATCAAAGGATACGTGGAGCAAGAGGAAGACCTTTTATAAACCCTGCGCGGCTGGGGCTGTGGCACCCGCTGCCTTTTCAGATTTGAGTCAAGGGAGACTCTTTCCAGAAGGACTTTCTGATACTAAACTAGGTGCTGAAATCCTTGGGGCACTGTGAGGCAGGAGGTAGGGCATGGAACCTGAGTTGGATGAACCTGCCTGAGTCCCCGCTCTCTGCTGTGACTGCAGGGAATGGATAAACAGCACAGCTAGCTAAGAATGGAGTCTGCCCTGGCTCACATCCCAGCTCCTGCACCTCTGTATGGCCTTGAATAATGAAGATCTCTTTGCACCTCAGTTTCCCCTTCTCTGTAACTGGGATGAAAGAACCCCTTCATATACATGCTGTGAGAATTAAATATGTAAATACGTGAGGCATTTAGCACAGCACCTCGCCCCTCCTCCATGCCCAGCTGTTAGAAACCATCCTCATCACCCTCAACATTGTGGTTAACTCTTCATTGACTTGGGATCTCTGCTTCCCCTTCTGCAAAGAAGGAACAATGAGGTCTTTCTCTTAAGGTGGCTTAAGGTGAAAAATAGTTTAGGACAAATGGGTTGTGTTTGGCATTGATATGCAGCCACTAAATCTACATGATTTCTTTCTTGCTGGGACCTACAAAAATGTACAGGGCTTGACTTCTTCAGAAAAAAAATGTGTAACAATGGAAAACATTGCGTTCCCACTATGGATTCTGGGGTCAAACAGAGCTGGGTCTGAGTCCCAAGTTCTCTTCTTATTCTCTTTGAAACCTAAGGCTATGGAGCCTTTCTCTGCCTCGGTTTCTTTGTAAAATAGAGTATCTAATGTGAAAATCAATAACATTAGGCAGAATCTCGGCCACAGATGGCAGGGAGGAGGGCAGGGCCACCCACTGCATTCCTGCACCTTTGAACATAGCTGGTCCATCACATGGTGCCCTCATGTGAAGTGTCTGTGGCCGGAGTGACCAAGTGGTGGGGCAGGAGGGAATCTGTGCCAGTTTCTGGGAGGCAGCGTGGCCCAGGGGGCTCTCACAAGTTTACCAGAGGCTCAACTGGCTCAATCTCACATTCGAGTAGGTGCCACTCTCTTTGAGGAATCCTTGTATTTTAGTGTCGTTCTCTTCGTATCTTCCAGAAACAAAAGAATTATCTGCCAGAAGCTCCTCTGCTTGTATTCAGAGGGCACTTTGAAAGTTCTGGTCACCCTGGCTGCTACCCCCTCTGACTTGCCACTGAGGAGAAAGAGGCTTCTCCAGAACCACATGATAAATGACCACACATTTTTGGAAACAGCAGGAGGAGGTGACAGGTTTCCATGATTGATCCCAAATGAGTTATTCAGTCTGGCAACTGACAACCCTATAATCACTGCTCTGGTTTAAACATAAGCACTGCAGGACTCTGGCTGATGAACCTGGAGAAGATGCTGGAAGGTCCTAACTGGTTTTGTAACAGGGTGATGCTGCGGTGCCTCTCTCCCTGCCCTGTAACAATTTCTCCATCTCTCTTTGAGATCCCTTGAAACAAAGGTTCCCAATCACTAAAGACTTCAAAATAACCACAATACCTTGAGGATGGCGGTTAATACCATGTGAGCACAGACCCTGGGAGAGGTGCTATCCAAAACACTTTACATATATTATCTGATTTACTCCTCATTCACATCATGTATGTGCTAGAATAAGGCCTTCTGTCTCCCCAGGATTCATTGACCAAAGACACCCTCAGCTGCCGGGCTCTAAGTTTTCAGAGACTATAGTATATGAGTTAAAAATCAGACTTTTTTACGCGCTGCCTCCATTAGCCTCTATAGCTAGCACCTGTGGTCTTACAGCCTCCCGTGATTGTGGACACCCGGGCGCAGAGAACATGGGCGTGCGCGGGGCCTCCCCTGGTGGCGCAGCGGTTGAGCTCTGGGCTGCGAGGCTGCCCGCAGCCTCTGCAGCGCTGGTTCGTTCCCGGCTGCCGGGCGAGGGGCCCACAAAAAAAAAAAAAAAGGGTATTGTAAGGGGCAGGACCAGGACACAGTGCATGTTTTCTGATCCCATACAGACCGGGTAAAGGAGGAGTCAGAGTCCTCAGTGGTTTTTTGCAGGTCTTTTATTGGGGTTCAGTGGGTATGTGGCAGTCAGTGGTGCTGGGGGGCTGGAAGGCTGGCAGTCCTCCCAGCCCCCAGCAAATCTTCACTCTATCTGGGCTCTCTGGCGTTCTCTGCTTCTGCTTCGGGCTTCTCTTTCGGCTTCTGCTGCTGCTTCTACTGCTCCTGGCGTCCCCATGACGCCGCCCTTAAAAGCCCAGTCTCAGCCCAGGTGAATCCCATCTACCAATGCCCACACCCTACTCCAGGTGCCCGCCATCAGGCATGCATTCAGGACTGCAAGGATCCATCATCTATCCTGATGGCGGAAGGGCAGAAAAGCCTGACATTTTCTTTACCCTACAGGTATGCGTGTGTGTGCGTGTGTGTGTGTGTGTGTGTGTGTGTGTGTGTGTGTGTGTGTGTGTGTGTGTGTGTGTGTGTGTGTAGGTGGGGGCACCTGTGCCTAGAGGTGATGGGATAAACGTAGCGCCGGCAGCAGGCGAGAGCACCACTCTATAGGGAGAACAGGAGCCAGCAGCAGAGAGAGCTAGAGAAAGAGCCAAGAGATTTGTGGGGGGCTGGGTTGTTTACTGCAGGAGCCCGATATATGTGATGTCGGGGCAATAGTGTCAGGGCAGGCAGGTTCGTGGTTGATTCCAGCAAGTGGAAAAGAGAATCTTGGATCCCTCGGTAGACTTGACGGGCCTTTAATGCTGAAGCAGGGGACCAGATCCAAGCAGAGTGGCAGGTAGGGGGGTGTTGGGGGCGGGGCAGAGGGGCAGCAACCAAGCCTCCCAGCGCTGGGCATCTCTGCAGTCTCTCTCTGATTTCTCTCCCCTCTCTCCTTCCGATCTCTCAGTCTCCCTCTTGGCCGGGGTGTCCCTACTTAGAGGTACGGGCGCCCCGTGCTCAAGTTTCCAAATGCTTTTTGCAATAACATGTTAAAACAAGTGGGCAACGAAACCTAGGAAGAAAACAAGGCTGCAGGGGGTGGCATCCATAGAGGCTGGCGGTGGGAGGCGGGGGAAAATAGCCTGACTTAGCCCATTTCCTTACACATGAGTATTTGAGGGTCAAATATTTTCAATTCTATAGCCTATGGGAGGGAACTTTTTGAAATTTAAATCTGAGCCTGTCTGTCAGCTGAAAGTATATCTTCCTCCAATAAATGTCTTCTCATCCTTCAGGCCTGGGTTGACTTGCTACAACCCTCCCTGCCCCCCGCCCCCAACTACTTTCTAGTTGCCAAGGTTAGCTGAGAGTGCCCTCTCGGGAGCTTCCGTAGCCATCAAAATCGCAAGAGCATGCTCAGAACTGAGTGTTTTTGCTCATTTGGGAGCGTTTCTCCTCCATCGTGAGTGAAGACTGTCTCAGTGACCATTTTAACCCCAGTTCCTGCCCCCTACCTGCAGCAGGGGAGAGGGATTCAGCTAGTGTGCTTTGTGTTATGTGCAGGTGACTGGTATAACTCCAGAGGTCCAGATGTAGGGTGGGAAGCAGGCACAAGGACCAGCGGCTCAGTGATACCGTCAAGGGTTTCGTCCAGAGCCTTTGCTTTGCCACCAGCAATGGAAGCTTCATCCCAAAACTGGCTCACCTCCCGGTCACAGTGCGGCCCTCACCTCAGTGCTACAGACTTTATTAGAAGGGAAGAGAGAAGCCACTTCTCCAGGGGACGGTCAATAGAACCTTCCTTGTAATCTGCGTCCGCTTAGGTTGACGCACACAAACAGCCTTGGATCATCACCATCTGCTGGTCTTGATTTAATGTGATTTCCATCTGGGGAAATGAGATGGAATGAGGGGAATGAGAGGAATGAGATGGGGAAAATTTGAGTTTAACTGGGAAGGAGAAGGGGAATTAAATGATGGCTGGGCAACCAGCATCTGTGTAGGTGCTGGTAAATGACGTGATGAAACCGAGAGCATGGTCTGTGTTTCTAGGAGTTGTTCCAACAGGAAAGTGCCCCAACAAAGTACTAGATCCACTCTTGAGGTTCTAGAGGTGGTTTTCTCAGCACTGGACTGTCCTCTGCTTCAGGAAACTGATCTAGGCACCATGGGGTCATTTCTAATTGGGTGTCTCAACTGTTGCGAGTCCTCTTGCTCAGAAAGGATAACAGTAAACTTCTCTAGCCAGGTGAAAGCATGTCGAAAATCTTGCAAGTTGTCTCTATACCTCCATCTAGGCCATTTCCTTGACTCTAACAGATGCTTAGATAACCTGTTGCTCTTGTCTTGTTTAGGACTCAACCTCTACAGCACTCATTAGTTTCCAAGAATCAGTCTCTCCTTGGAGACAGTTAAAGAATTACAACCTTTCTTCTTAAGCCTGTACCTTATAATCTACCCAACCTGCTTCTCAGGGAAGTGGGGAGAGCCGATGCTAGGTTTTGGGGGTCTTATGGGTTTCTCTTAAAACCCAATCTCTGCTATCGACTGGGGATGGGACTGGGGGAAAATCACTAACCCTCTGAGTCATTTCCCTTTCACTGTCTGCAAGAGTGTTCATAAATGAGGCATTGCCTCCCCTAACTCAAAGAGTGGGCTTCTGAAAACTGCAGGAGTGGGAGAACTTGAGTTTGGGAGAATTTAGACCTTATAGAAATTCGGGGTGGGGGGAAGTTAGAAGGGGCCAGCAACAGCAGCAAAGCTATCAAGGTCTCATCAATGCATTTAAAATTTTTCCTCAAATAATCAAAAAAGATGTAAAATGGCAGTGACATTTAACACATATTAAAACACTAATAACAAGTGCTACTAATTTTCTATTATCCCAAGCTTATAAGAATATTTCAAGGTCTCCCTCCACTTAAGTTTTCAGGAAAATGCTAAAAATTCAGATTGTAGGTAAGAGGCACACTATAAGGAGTTCTATTGGTTTGTTCGTTCTCACATCCAAGTCCACAGATTCATTGTCTTTCTGATGGTTTGTTTGGGTGTTTTTCTCCTGCTCCCCAGAGATCCAGGCTGAAGGTGCCTCAAAGAACAAATCCGTGCACCATCTGTTCACACAAGGCCTGTTTCTCCCCGGGGCCCCCAGTCTCAGGGAAACACCACCACTTTCCCAGTTGCCCGGGGAGAAGCCAGGGCAATGCCCCAAATCCTCACTCAGCTAATGCTTCACCTTCAATAGTGCCGAGGACCAGTTGTCCCCAGCAGGGCCCCCTGAATCCATGAGCCTCACTCCAGGTGCGGTAGCTTAGCTTTCGTTTACTTATCACGACCACTGCAACCACTTCCCCTCTGGTTTTCACCAGGCGACCCCAGGCAGCCAGAATGGGGCTAAATCTGATTCTGTCGCTTCCTTTCTTAAAACCTCTCAAAATCTCTAGCTCCATTTTCCGTGACTTCAGTCACAAAGATGACCCCAAGTTCCCCTCCCCCAGATGTTCCTCACAGTCTGTGGAATAATTCTCTCCTGTTGCTCCAATTCCTTGGAACATTTTCCCTCCAGCCCCAACCTCGCTAACTCTTCTCTGTCCCTAAATATTCAGCTCAGGTTTAACCACTCAGTTATACATTTTTTTTTTTTTTAAATCCCGTAAAGTAAGGGTACTAATGGTACCTAGCCTGCAAGTGTTTGGAAGGAATAGATGAGTTAATCCATGCAGATTGTGAAAAGCTGTGCCTAGCACTTTGATAAAAGTTAACTATTATAATCCTCTCCACAGGGCCTTGCCCCTGAACCATACTCCCCGGGTTATATGCTTCCATATTGCCCCACACTGCCCTCATCACAGCCCTTAACAACTGGAACTCAGGTCATCACTGGCCTTTACCTCCCTTGAGAACCTACACCCCATTGTATTTATTTCTGTCTCTGCTCAGAACAGGGCCAGGGTCACTGAGGAGACCTAGTAAATATTAGTTAAATGAATAAACATTCAGCAAGAATCCCTTTTACCGTTGCCTGAAAGTTATTCCAAATAACTTACAGCAGGAACCTCCTGAGATGTCTGATTTGCGCCCCAGTTCTCACTAACCAGAGACAACCCTGTCGACTCCTCGAGTTAGCGGCATGACAGGCAGAGTTACTCGCTTCTTCACTTAGAAAAGGAAAAAAAAACATGAAGAGGAAAATGACTTAGTCATCACTGTCAACCTTGGCAAATAAACATTGCTATTACCTACTCCAGAGCTGGAGGAGCAACACATAATTAGGCACAGTTTCAATCAGCAGCAAGATGTGAGTTCAGTGAGCGCCTGAGTGGCTCATTTGCGCTGCAGGAGAGGTGGGATGTTGATTTTCATGCAAACACTGTCTCTCAGACTCCCAATTAAATAAGCACCTTAATATTTTTCAGGCCCTACATAGGTGAAACACTTTTTCTGAGAAAGGAGCAGGGAAGGGGTGAAGATGTTTGAGGGACGGCAGCAGATTTATGATGAACTTTGCTTGTTTTCCGATTATAAAAGTAATATATTTTCCTTGTGAGCACCTTGTAAAATATAGAAGACAATAAAAAGAAAAGAAATCTATAATAATCTTATCAAACACTTGGATCTGTCATCCATTTGATTCACTCTATTCTGTAACTCAGTAAATGATCTCATTCAGTCCTGTGGCTTTAAAGGCTGACTTTATGTTCATAATTCTCAAATTAATATCTCCAACCCTCTCCTCTTCACCAAACTCCAGACTAGATGTCAGAGACAGAGCCTTGTGGATTTTGAAATATTCAATAGGACCACAAAAAAACTCTTGATTTTTTTTTTTTTTTAGCCTTTCGCAGCAAAACTGTTACCTTCTTAAATCTTCCTCGTATTAGTCAATACCACTGCTATTCACCAAAAAACTAGAAGTTATACACTAAAATGTCACATGCATTTAGTCCATCTTTTTACATTCCAGCTTTTTACCTCCAGAAATCTTCCCAGCCTCCCGCAGTTCTTCCATCTCTACTGCTGCCTCGCAAGAAGCCAATCTATTAACTCAGCAAGTTCTAAGATCAATCCCCTAACCTATGTCTTTTTCTAGCCTTTGTATGGCAATTAGAATGCTATCTGGCTATTTTCTTAAGCCTGATAACTAAAAGTGGGATTACAAAAACATTAATAATTTAAGGCCTTGATGATAGATGTGTGTGTGTGTTTGTGTGTGCATGTGTGTGTGTGTGTGTGTGTGTGTGTGTATATATATATACACAGATTTGTGGAAATCATTTCCCAGTATCAATTGCACCCAGCAGGGTCTGAGGGTCTGGATTTGAAGATAGCGCCCACTGTTGCACTATGCTCATGGCCCAGAGCAAGCCTGGATCTTCTGAATGGTTTACATTTCTATCTGTACTATGACTGAAGTGATTACTTCTTTGATCACTTCATAATATAGCAGTATGAATTTTCAACTTAGGGCAGAGTGAATAAAAACATAACTCATAAAATATTTTTTCTCATAATTGAACTAAGTATCTATCTGGAACCCTCATGTTGCTGATGGCAGAAAACACAATCTATTTAATTCTAGATAAACTCAACACTTAAGGATTTTCCTTTCTCACCTCAAGTTAAACTCAGTTAGGATGTTTTCTACCCTTTTCTTTGGGTCTTGACCTGGGATTTACCTGCTTGTTGAAGCTATGGGTTTAGGGGGTTGCTTTATGGAATCCTAGCCCCAGACAGAAAAAGGAGGGAGGGATCTACTTTAGAGCTGTCATCTGTCCTTGCTGAATCTACTTCAATTTTTGTGGGTTTTGGTTAATCCAAAAACTTGGATTTTATCAGCTGAGATGTGATCTGTGCTAC